GTCCGGCTTGGAGCAAGCCCGCTGTGGCTCTCCCTGGCCTGCCCCTGAGAATGGGCAAGGAGGGATATTTACTGCCCTCTGGGCAGCCCGGTGCTGCCCTGCCCAGCTGCCGAGTACGTTACTCATACTGCCTCACAAGCAGCTCTTCAGGCTTCCCCTCCTGCTCCGTGATCTGCTCTGATGAGGAATGTGGCTCTGTCGTCCTGGTTAACTCTCCTGCAAACAGTTGTAGGCTGCAATTGGATGCCCCTGACCACCTCTTCACCAGGCTATAGGTGCAGAACTCCCTCAAAACTCATCTTCACGAATGCACATATCCGTGGCTGTTGACCATTACAACAACCTTCTGCTGGAGCAGGATCTCAACATCCTCCTTGAACAGGACCCTGGTATCCCAGGTGCTGCCTCACCAGCCAAAGAGATGATAATTTCCGTGGACTGGCAAGCCACGCTTCTCCCAGTACAGCTAGTATGTGGTTTGCTTTGTTTGTGATAACAGAACAACTAATCAGAAACATATCCGTTAGTGGGATCCTTCTTCTGGCCTTTGTTAAGGTTGCTGAAGAAGAACCTTTGTTAAGGTTTCTGATGAAGATACAGGGGTTTGGGCTTCCAATCTGCATAGTCTAGATCTGTAAAAAGAGCATTTCCTACTGCTCACGTGTGAAGATCAGCAAGAGACAAAGAACTTCAGGATAAGGAAAAAAAACCCTTTTTAATAGAAACGTCTACTGTCTATCCCTTATTTCACACACGTCACAAGATCTGTGATGAGAAAAGAGTTACCAAGACTGGCAGTGAGGAGTCCAGGATTGCCTAGATCAAAAATTAGGATAGGGGAGGTGACATCTCACCCCATGCAGACTGTGGGTGGAGAAAAGAGTTACCAAGACTGGCAGTGAGGAGTCCAGGATTGCCTAGATCAAAAATTAGGATAGGGGAGGTGACATCTCACCCCATGCAGACTGTGGGTGATGGTCAGATGTCGTGGTTTAACCTCAGTCGGCAACTGAGTACCACACAGCCGCTTGCTCACTCCTCCCCCTCCCTCCCCCCCTGGTAGGATGGGGGAGAGAATTGGAAGAGTGGAAGTGAGAAAAAACTCATGGGTTGAGATACGAACAGTTTAATAATTGAAATAAAATAATAGCAATAATAATAATAATACACAAAGCAAGTGATGCACGATGCAACTGCTCACCACCCGCCGACCGATCCCCAGCCAGTCCCTGAGCAGCGGCCCCCCCAGCCAGCTTCCCCCCGTTTATGTACTGAGCATTACGTCACATGGTATGGAATGTCCCTTTGGCCATTTTGGCTGTGCCCCCTCCCAGCTTCTTGTGCACCTGCAGCCTTCTCAGTCGGTAGAGCATGGAAAACTAGAAAGTCCTTGGC